TGAACCAGGCTCCGAGCTGTCACCATAGAGCCCGATGTGGGGCTTAAACCCACAGACTGCGAGATCATGACTTGAGCCAAAGTCGGATGCTGAGCCACACAGGCACCCCAGAAAATTCCTTTTTTAAGCTCTGTAAAGATGTTTTAAAATTACTGTTCTATGAAATCTGGCCATTTGTAGCAACATGGATGGAACTTGAGGGTGTTATGCTGAGCGAAATAAGTCAGGTAGAGAAGGACAGATACCATTTGTTTGGACGTATAGGAGGATTAGGAGGAACTTCACAGAGGACCATGGGGGAGGAGAAGGGGAAAAATAGTTGGGGAGAGGGAGGGAGGCAAACCATGAGAGACTCTTGAATGCTGAGAACAAACTGAGGGCTGATGGGAGTGGGGAAGAAGGGAAGGGGGGTGATGGGCATGGAGGAGGGCACTTGTTGGGTTGAGCACTGGGTGTTATATGGAAACCAACTTGACAAACTAAGAAAAATAAATAAGTAAAAAATAAAAATTATAACAAAAATGAAAAAATAAAATTACTGTTCTACAGCTGTTCCCTTCCAAATATACAAGAGTAGGAGAGGGAAAGATCCATCTAGAGATAATAAAAGTTTCTTTTATTTTCAGAGTGTTCCTTTTTTAAAAATTTTTTAATGTTTTATTTATTTCTGAGAGATAGAGAGACCGCGCGAGCAGGGGAGGGGCAGAGAGAGAGGGAGACAGAATCCGAAGTAGGCTCCAGGCTCTGAGCTGTCAGCACAGAGCCCAATGTGGGACTCGAATCCACGAACCGTGAGATCATGACCTGAGCTGAAGTCAGCGCTTAACCAACTGAGCCACCCAGGTGCTCCAGGAAGCTCAGGTTTAGAGTAGCTCAGCAGAGTTCGGTCACAAGCAGGGCTCACAGCTCAGAGGTAAATCAGGCCCTGAAGATGGGGCGCCTGGGTGGCTCAGTCGGTTAAACATCCGACTTCAGCTCAGGGCATGCTTTCACGGTTCGTGGGTTCGAGCCCCGCGTTGGGCTCTGTGCTGACAGCTGGCTCAGAGCCTGGAGCCTGTTTCAGATTCTGTGTCACCCTCTCTCTCTCTGACCCTCTCCTGCTCGCTCGTTTTTTCTCTCTCTCTCTCTCTCTCTCAGAAATAAATAAAACATTAAAAAAATCAGGCCCTGAAGAGCTGGTAACTACCTTGCATATAAAAGCTGAAGAGCCTGATGTATATACATTTTCTTCCTTTAAATATTTGTGTTGTTTCCTACCCTAAACGAGTCTCACAGGAATGAATCAGAGAATTCCATCTTTTCTAGGACATTACACTTTTAATAGGAAATAAGATTACAGATGAACAGTGAGAATGGCTTTTCAAGACCTTTCTAAAATCTGCCAAAACTTTGAAGTATCAGAAGTTGGTTTTGATTCCAAGCTGTAGGCAGGAGGATGACCTGTTGAATGTGCAAGGCAGAGAATTTGTTTGCTGGCAGTTTGGAAAATGACTTTGTACTGTTCTATGCGTTTTTTATTTTACACAGTTAATAACATGTTATAAACTATAGTGGTTATTTCACTTGATGTTGAAAGAAGGATCCGTGTACTTTCATCTTGGAAGTTGATTCATTCAAAACAGATTTTGCAGAATTTAGATGGAAGAGAAAATGTTTAGGACTCTAAGTCTAGAAATCCTGTAAATTAGAACATTTAGCAGATAAAATATTGTAGGAAAAAATTGTCTGATAAATTTCTACAAGTGTTTATTATATTATTAGCTGATCCTAAGGGCATGGGGGAGTCACAGGATCATTATGTCCCTTGCTTGCAGGTGGACTGTTCTGTTCCTATTATCCACACCGGAGGCCCAGACTTTGGTAGAATTCCCACCTAGTATGGACATTACCCATCACTGTGTTAGTGGTGGTTAGGAGGTGTCTCTCACATCTGACCTCATCCTCTCTGTTTCTTTTTCAACCTAGTCAATTTCTGATATTTGTGACTTTAAACTTTATAGGTCTCCAACTGTCTGAGAGCTCTTAATTCAGAACCTTTTAAGAGAAGTCAACAAGCCAGAGGGAGAAGGGAATCACTTACTCCTAGCTTCTGCTTCTCTCCTTCCCTGTTATAAATCATAACTAACCAAGGAGAAGGGGACATGGCTGAAACAGTTGGCTTGGCACTCCACCAGGGTATTTTGGGTCCTCTAGCTGAGAACCTTAGAGCAGCAGGTAGAGCAAAACCGAAACTCCAGTAGCCGCTCCAGTGGCTGAAGCTGATAGGGTTAGTTGTACAAATTCATCACAGTTCAGTCTGAGGGACCTGTACGGAACCCGTACATTGCTGACCTGAGCACAGCTCTTACTTTTCAGAGGTCCTATTTTAGGCCCAGAAAAGCTCAGTCACTCCACAGGACATATACTAGGATCTATTGGTGATAGTCCTATTTGGCTTTTCCCACAGAAAGGGATAACAAGTGTCTAAAGTCTAATGGATAATTGGAGCTTCTGCTCTTGGAGTACCCAGTCCTGACAGGGCATCTTGCTAAGTGTTACATGGCCCCCATTTATTCTTAATGCCACTTGTAAGCTTTTTCTTAGTACTATATAGCTAGTCTGTAGGAGTCCTGAAGTTGGAACAAAGCCCTGTTTGACTCCTCATCCCGTAATCTTTTAGTCCAGCACTCTGCCTTTTCCATAAAGTATTAGCCTGAAAAGATATTCTGAATCGCATCTAATGTTACAACCCAAACATTCAGCCTAAGAACCGGAAGAGCCAGGAAAAGTGTCATTTTGGAGGAAGGATCAAATGTAACTACAAACAAAAATATTTCCTTAACCTCTTATTGTGAAATAATTTGAGACTTACAGAAAAGTTGCAGATAGTACCCAGAATTCCCATATACCCTTCATGCAGATTCTTCACATTAACATTTTACCACATTTGCTTTTTTTATTTTGAATAATTTGATGGTATAGTTGCAGACATGATGGCTAAATACTTCAGTGTGTATTTCCTAGCAAACAAAGACATTCTGTTATGTGACCACAGTATGTCAATCAAAATCAAGCAGTTAACACTGATCCAAGTACTTTTATTTAATCTACAAACCATATTCAAATTTGGCCAATTGTTGCACTGATATAGGAAAAGAAAAGAAAATGGCTTTTTTGGTCTAGGAAAAATTCAGGATTACTTGTGGCATTCAATTGACATGTCCCTAATCTCCTATAATATGTAACATACATTCTTCAGCCCATGACCTTGACACTTTTAAAGAGTACAGGCCATTTATTTTGTAGAATTCCCCTTAATTTAGGCTTGCCTGGTGTTTCCTCATGATTAGAATCTGATTTGGCATTTTGGCAGCAGGAATCCCACAGAAGTGATGCTGGTTCTTCTTGGTATATCCTCTCAGGAGGCACATGGCTTTGGGGTGCTTCATTCCTGGGAAGGTGAAGTCCATCACTTTGTTCAAGTGGAGTCTGCCAGGTTTCTCCACTGTGAATTTACTATTTTCCCCTATGGAATTATTAAGTGTCATGTAGAGAGATGTTTTGAAACTATGTAAATATTTCTGTTTCTCAAAGTTTTAGCCACTAGTTTTAACAGCCATTAATGATTTTTGGTTGAGATAATTATTACTGTGATGGTTGCCCAGTGGTGATTTTCTAATTCCATCATTCCTTCTATGGTAAGTAATTTTTTTCTCTTCAACTCTTTCACAAGTAAGTTCAGCCTGACATCATGCTAGAACTCATACTTCTTTGTCAAACATGTAGTATTACCATTATCTGGGAGATACGGTGTTTAAGTTCATGCTTTGCAAAAGTATTCCACGGTAAGGAAATGAAAGAATAGTCCAGCTTCACATATAATAGTCCATGCTCTCAGTTGCAATGATACTGTTATTTCTGCTAGTATCTACCTATGCTTACCATTGCTTTTATCTTTCCTCTCAATCCTGGGTTCTGTTTCCACCATGGAACTTTGCTCAGGGTCCAAATGGCTTTTGCTTGCTTTGGGTTGGTTTGTTTGAAGTGCTGTAAAAATTAGGAAAAGTTGTAGTAATAATACCACTGTCTGTAGATTTAGATAGATAGCATATCAGTGTCTTGTACTTGCCAATTAAATCAATGTGAAAAAAATTTAATCTTATGGCAGGGAAAAAGAGGTGACTCAGGAGAGCTTAGTGTAAGCAGCCATCTTAGATCTGTCAGTGTCTCCTAGCTGGTCAGCCTTTACCTCATAGGCCTTGAGGCCATTTGCTGTCATGACTTGCACATTTGCCACTGCCCCCTCCTATTTTCCTGAATTCCATCTGTAGGAGAAAACTGGTTATCAGTGATGGTGTCCTCTTTTGGATGTTCTACCTCCAGTGAAGGGGGATGAAAAGAAAAAATAGCCCTTCTAAGAGGTTTGGAAAGAAAATGAGTACATGAAATCTCGAATGGTTAAGGACTGAGATACATCCAATTTGCTGTTTTCCTTTCAGATGAAATTAAAATTTTGTTGCAGCAGTTTGTTTCTTGATTTAGAAGGTATTTATGGGGGTTTGTTTGGACCTGCAAGTCAACATTTTAAGGCTTTGTTATTGTCCAGACTTTAGGAAACTTAGCTTTTCAAGCTCAAGTTCTAGAGAAGCGGAAGGTTTTGTGGTGGTGGTGGTTTATTTTTATTTTTATTTATTTTTTTATTTTAGAATAGGGGAGAGGGACTGAGGGGGAGCAGGCTCCATACTCAGCGTGGAGCCCAATGCGGGGTTCAATCTCACTGTGGAGAGATGACCTGAGCCGAAATCAAGTCAGACATTTAACTGACTGAACCTTGCCGGTGCCCCAAGAAGTGGAAGTTTTTATTGATTTTATTTCTTTAAATTTGAGGTTTCCTTTAATTGCCAGTCTTTGTGACCGCTAGTGGATTTCCAGCAATCAAAGAAATTTCTCAGATGGTAATCTGCATTCATGGGTTCAGGTATCTCTAACTCCTCCCTGACCACTGGATTTTCTTCCTGCAGGAAGACCTCCTGATGCAGTCAAGCAAAGAACGTTTATGCACGAGGATCCCTGAAGACTGTTTGAGGAGCAAAGGTATTTATTTCTCTCCACTTTTTTCCTTTTTCTACTTGTTACACACACTGTTAAAGTTCACATATTCTGTTTTACGTTGGGAATGCAAGTCCTTGGCTTGAAGATGGATTTAACTGTAGAAATTCTTGATATTACCCATGGACATACTTGAAGACACCTAGCAGTGTCTTAGGTTTTGGGGGGTTTGTTTGTTTTTAATGTTGTTTATTTTGAGACAAAGCATGAGTGAATTGGGGAGGGCAAGAGAAGAGAGAGAATCCCAAGCAGGTTTTGTGAAGCAGGGCTCGATCTCTCAAACCATGAGATCATGACCTGAGTCGAAATCAAGAGTTGGACACTTAACCATCTGAGCCACCCAGGCACCCCTGTTTATTTGTTTAAGTAAACTCCGCCCCCAGCATGAGACTTACTAAGATCAAGAGTCATATGCTCTACCCTTTGAGCCAGCCAGCCACCCAAAGCGGTGCCTTAGTTTTGACAGCAGTTTGCCTCATGCTTTTTTTGTAATGAGTCCCTGTTGATGGTGTGTTGAACCTTAATTGCTGATGTGGAATCTTTTATTTGATTTTATAAAATTGAACTGCCTCCTTGGAAGGGTTAATATGGATGGGGAGGAATTGACCCCTTCTAGTTCAGTGCTGTGGAGTGCACCCTGTTCTTCCCCTGGGCAGGGATGGGAGAAAGAGTTCACTCCAGGTCATCTTGAGAATTGTCAAAGCAACTTCATTTCTATTACTTTGTTTTGCTCAATGAATAGATACAGGAATCTGATGTAATACTTTTAGTTTGATTGATTGATTGACTAATTGAGGAGGAAGCTGAGATTCAAAGAGTACTGAGCCAAAATGCTTCTCCCTGGTCCCCAGCTGAAAATAATCTTGGGTAACTTTAGAGAGGACTATGTATATATATTATGCAATTAAGGTTAAAAGTATAGAGTAATCAAAACCACCCAAAAAAGGGAAAGTACAGCAAATAGGTTTGATTATATGAACATGTCTGTGATTAAACATCAGATTTTTTTTTTAATGTTTTATTTATTTCTAGGAGAGAGAGAGAGAGAGACAGCGTGAGCAGGGAAGGGTCAGAGAGAGAGGGAGTCACAGACTGAAACAGGCTCCAGGCTCTGAGCTGGCAGTCAGCACAGAGCCCGATGCGGGGCTGAAACCCATGAACCACGAGATCATGACCTAAGCCTAAGCTGGATGCTTAACCGACTAAGCCACCCCAGCGCCCCTAAACATCAGATTTAAGGGGCACCTGGGTGGCTCAGTCGGTTAAGCATCCAGCTTAGGCTTAGGTCATGATCATGTGGTTCATGGGTTTCAGCCCCACATCGGGTTCTGTGCTGGCAGCTCAGAGCCTGGAACCTGTTTCGGATTCTGTGTCTCCCTCTCTCTGCCTCTCTCCTACTCATACTCTGTCTCTGTCTCAAAAATAAATAAACTATAAAAAAAAAATACATCAGATTTGACTACTCTGCTTCTTGGCAGCCTGGACAGAAAAGGAAGCACAAATTGTCCTTATGAGAAAGGGCACTTGTCCCAATTTATTACCCTGCTTCCTGTTGCTAGAGATTTCCTTTGTGGCTTAAAGGCTTGGCTGTCCAGTAGAGGTTAAAAACTCTGAAGATGAGAAATGTTCTTTTGTACGTGTCTCCCCCAGTTCCTAAGGCTTTGCTTGGGACCATTTTTAGTGCCACCACACTTCCCCCCACCAAGTATCTTTTCAGCGGGGCTTCAGTATTGCTATATTGAGTCTTCAGTATAATGGTATATTTTCACCCACATCTTAGCACAAAATTTAGTGTCTATTTGTTGAACTATACCTTCATTTAGCAACTAAACTGGCCTTTAAACAGAAGAATCAGGGGGCACCTGGCTGGCTCAGAGTACACAACTCGATCTCAGGGTTGTGGGTTCAAGTCCAATGTTGGGCACAGAAATTACTTAATTAAAAGAAAGAGACAGGGGCACTTGGGTGGCTCAGTCGGTTAAGTGTCTGACTTTGGCTCAGGTCATGATCTCGCGGTTTGTGGGTTCGGGCCCCATGTTGGGCTCAGTGCTGACAACTTGGAGCCTAGACCCTACAACCTGCTTTGGATTCTGTGTCTCTCCCTCTCTCTCTGCTCCTCCCCCACTTACTCTTTCTTCTCACTCACTGCTTTCTCTCTCAAAAATAAATAAACATTTTATTTTATTTTATTTTTTAAAAAGTTTTTAATGTTTATTTATTTCTGAGAGAGAGAACGAGAGCGAGCAAGCAGGGTAGGGTCAGAGAGAGGGAGACACAGAATCTGAAGCAGGCTCCAGGCTCTGAACTAGCTGTCAGCACAGAAGCCGATGCGAGGCTCGAACCCACTAACAGTGAGATCATGACCTGAGCTGAAGTCGTACACTTAACCAACTGAGCCACCCAGGCGCCCCAAATAAACATTTTAAGAAAGGTGGAGGGAATACTGAAGAATCAGTTATTTTCTGAGGAAATCTGCCTTTCCAGACTTAACCTAGTTTCTATCCACCTAAAAATCTGGTCCACATTGGACGTGGGTAAGATGAGCTCTTCTGAAATGTATCCTCAGATGAACTACTTTGTGACACTTTTCCTCCTGTCCTGGTAACCATTCTTCTTCAGTGACTTAAATTAGGAAAATGATTTTTCCCCTCAAAGTCACTGTGCAAGGTTCTCAGTTTGAGATGGAGGAACTTGGAAACAGCACCTTTACTAGAGTTTTTAGCAGCAGTGACCTAGTGCCTGTCTATGATATATTCTTCCATTCAATCCCCAAAGAGCCTTCTAAGGTGTCCCTTTGTTACACATGAGGAAACAGGCTCCTCTGTGCAGAGGCCTAGCCAGTCAGAGCAAGATAGAAAGGAAGGTTCTATGAAGGCAGGCCTGTGAAAGAATTGAACACACAAGCTGCCACCATGGATTTCAGTCAAATAGATGCTACAGTGTGGCCAGCATCTCAGCTCACTTTGCCAGGATTAAGATCAAGCATCTGTCAACCTGTCATTTACTAGAGAATTGAGAAGTAAATACTGTTTCTTGGAAACTTGGTTGTACATTCCCTCTGGGGACCCCAGCTTCCAGAATTTTCACTTTGCCCACACATATCCTAGTCCTGCACATATCAGATGTAAGTTTTCCTGATGAAAACTAGTATAACCTTTGTTATAGCAAGGTGTAACCTTTGTTATAGCAAGGTTGAACCTTGCTACCTTTGTTTTTAAGTGTCTGCTCTGTGGAATGCTGTGTAAATTACATAGTTCTATTTATATTTGTTTTGCTTCCTCTGAACGGGGGGGGGGGGGGGGGGGGGGGGGGGGGGGGGGGCACCTTGAAGGTCAGCACTGCAAAAATTTATAAATTTGCTGAGGAATGAATTTGGGTCCTCTGCACTGAGGTGTTCATCAAGTGAACCTAGGCTGCTATATTCTCCCTATGGTGTGTTATTTTTCCTTCTCTAAATAAATGTCCCAATGGGGTGCCTGGGTGGCTCAGTCAGTTAAGCGTCCGACTTTGGTTCAGGTCATGATCTCGCGGTTTGTGGGTTTGAGCCCTGCATCGGGTTTTGTGCAGGCAGCTCAGAGCCTGGAGCCTGTTTCAGATTCTGTGTCTCCCTCTCTCTCTCTCTGTCCCTCCTCTGCTGGAGTGAACACTTGTTTCTCTCTCTATCTCTCTCCCTCCTTCTCCCCCCCTCCTTTCAAAATAAATAAAGTTTAAAAGGAAAAAAGAGGGGTGCCTGAGTGCTTCAGTAGCTTAAATATCCTACTTCGGCTCAGGTCATAATCTCACAGTTCATGAGTTCAAGCCCTGCATCGGGCTCTGTGCTGACTGCTTGGAGCCTGGAGCCTGCTTTAGATTCTATCTCCATCTCTCTGTCCCTCCCCTGCTTGTGCTTTGTCTCTGTCCCTCTCTCTCTCAAATATAAAATAAAACATAAAATTTTTTTTAATGTTTTTTATTTATTTTTGAGAGAGAGACAGCATGAGCAGGAAGGGTCAGAGAGAGAGGGACACACAGAATCCAAAACAGGCTGCAGGCTCTGAGCTGGCCATCAGCACAGAGCCTGACGCGGGGCTCAAACTCACGAACTGTGAGATCATGACCTGAGCCGAAGTCAGACGCTTAACCAACTGAGCCACCCAGGCACCCCGAAAAAAATTTTTTTAAGGAAAAAATAAACTACGAGTCTATTTTTCAGAGTGGTTGTACCGTTTGGGATTCCTACCAGCAATATATGAGTTCCAGATAAGCAGGTGGATCCTTTTTCAACTCCTTTATTAATTCATTTGTAATTCATTTATTTATTTATTATTTTTTTAAAAAATATTTTTATTTATTTCTAGGAGAGAGAGAGAGAGACAGCGTGAGCAGGGGAGGGTCAGAGAGAGAGGGAGTCACAGACCCTGAAACAGGCTCCAGTCTCTGAGCTGGCAGTCAGCACAGAGCCCGATGCGGGGCTCGAACCCACGAACCGCGAGATCATGACCTAAGCGAAAGTCGGACGCTTAACCGACCAAGCCACCTAGGTGCCCCAATTCATTTGTAATTTAGAAAGCCACATGTTCAGTGGTCAGAAGAAGCTGAGGAAGTGCATAAGCTTGTAGGGTTGTTTGCCACTGTCCTCCTACCTACCACTGTGAGCCTCTACACAGGAGAGCTTCATTTTGTAAGACGTGACAGTATTGCTAACCCATTGCATATCTTTCTGAAGACGAGATATAGGGTATGCCAAAATGAATGTCATATTTAGTGTCCCAGTCTAACGACTTAATTTTTGATCCAAGAAAAGATTTTAATAGAAATAGTGTTAAATCCTTGTCAACCTCCAGCATCTCTGTCCCTAATTATGGTTATATGGAGATAACACCAATAAAAGTCTTCAAGTTTTCTTAGGTTACTTGTATTATAATCAGAGTGTAGTGTTTTTTTTAAAGACAATTTTACTGAGATATAATTTGTACATACTGTAAAGTTAACTTGTTTAAAATAAA